TAGACCTGGTTTAGACCTGGTTTAGACCTGGTTTTAGACCTGGTTTAGACCTGGTTTAGGGTTTAGACCTGGTTTAGTCCAGCAATGTTTAGAAAATGGTTTAGGAAAATGTAAATTAAAAGGAACCTGGTGTAATCCATTTATTTCAACAAAGTAACTGTAATCCAGTTACTCATAATTTACTCATACTCATTTGTACTCTGATTATGTAATACTGGTACATATAATCTGTTACTCCCCAACACTCGGACTATGAAATAATAATAATAATAATAATAATAATAATAATAATAATAATAATAATAATAATAATAATAATAATAATAATAACAAATAATAAATAATGTTTTTAAAAGTCAAAATGTCCAATATTGGAGACAGTTATATTTGTCTTTTAAAAACATAAAGGTTTGTTGTTTTGTTATGTCACTGTTCTTGTCTGTTTTAAAAATGGACCATGAGATAAAAGTGAAATAAACTGAACATTATAACATAATCAGTGTTGGGGAGTAACAGATTACATGTACTGGAGTAATGTAATCAGAGTACAAATGATGAGTAACTGTAAGTATTACTGTTTCAGTTAAATTGGATTACAGTTACTTTGTTGAAATAAGTGGATTACACAGAGGTATGTTCCTGTTTTTACATTATGGGCTAAACCCAAACCAAAACCAGAACTAAACCAGGTCTAAACCAGGACTAAACTAGGACTAAACCAGGTCTAAACCAGGACTAAACCAGGTCTAAACCAGGTCTAAAAGCAGGACTAAACCAGGTCTAAACCAGGACTAAAACCAGGACTAAACCAGGACTAAACTAGGACTAAACCAGGACTAAACTAGGACTAAACCAGGACTAAACCAGGACTAAACCAGGACTAAACTAGGACTAAACTAAACCAGGACTAAACTAGGAGGACTAAACCAGGACTCTAAACCAATAAACTATGACACTAACAGTAGATGGACATAATTTAAAGCAGCAGTGATCTCATATAAAAATCATTTCTCTATCAATAATATTTATAATATGGTTAAGACTGGGATTTTTATTGTCTTTATGCAAACAAAACAATTAATGTTAAGATTTCCTCATCTTTGTTTCTCTACAACAAACAGTTTATTCATGGAGATTTGGGCTCAACAGACAATTTGAAGAGAACAAACAAGAATTTTCAGGATGTGGTTGTTACATTCATGTAGTTTTAAAAAGCACGACAATATCAAGTAATCCAAAGTATTCAGATTACATTACACACTTTAAGTAATTTAATGGATTACGTTACAAACTACATTTTGGGGTATGTAATCTGTAATCTGTAGGGAATACATTTTAAAAGTCACCTTCCCGACACTGAACATAAAAGCTCAATTTAGTGTAATATGGGACCTTTAAATGATGGATGTTAAACCTACAAAATATGAGTACATTTTTACCACTTACTTTATTTTTACTTGAGCAAAAAATGTCAGTGGTCATAGTGAATTGTAATACACATACTGTAGCTATTAGTCACCGCTAATATACGCAAAAGTGAGCACCGGGGGGAAACAGAAGGCATTGTTTAATACTGATGATATGACTTGAACCAATCCCTGCAAGTTTTATTATCAAAATTCTGATGGTTTCACTCAAAGCCGCATTATATCATATTTTAGCACTGCCCTCTAGCGGTAGAAAAGTGTTATTGCATTACTTCAGTTTTTAAAGCAGACCTGTTGTATAGAGAATTTACTTCTCATTTACCCTCTCAAAGCTGTATTTAAAGTGATTCATACATGTTTGAGTCATTTTTGTATTCCTGTATTCAAGACGTCCTCGCTTCAATCATGTTTTTCAGGTTTTCTCCACCACTGGTAAACACCCACTGTTCTGTAAAGTAAAATTATAATCCACCAGATTATAAAATTAAAAGAGAACAGATTTTTTTTTCCTTTTTCAAAATCTTAAATATAATGTTTTAGAGAAATTAGTAGTCTTTTTTATGTATGCATGAACTTACGAGAGGGGGTTGGGGGGCGACCCTCTGGCTCCTCAGCTTGAGCAGTAGAACCTGCCCACCTGCCCTCATTCCACACCTCTACTTCACCCCTGCTGTTTAGGCACCCAAAGCGTGGAATAAAGTCCAGTGCCATAGGGAGAGGGCGGGGATCAAAAGATTGAGCGTTGGAGAGGATGGCGCTGAGGGACAGGGAAAGTCTCACTACTGGCTGCTGAGGAGCACGAGCCTCTTCCTCTTCTTCTTCTTCGTCTTCACTCTCTTCTTCCTCTTCCCCCTGTTCTTCCTCTTCGTCCTCTTCCTCCTGAGAGAGACTCCCGTAGCCAGAGTCAGGTGATGAGGACTCAACGCTCCAGTCCTCTTCATCAGATGACCCAAACTGAGGCCTAGGACCACTTACCTCCAACTCACCTTGGTTGTCCTCGTCCGAAGAGGAGTGGTCTCCAAGGTCCTCCTCCCGAAGATCCAGAAGGACCAGAGGGGCCAGAGGAGCCAGAGGAGCCAGAGGAGCCAGAGGAGCCTCTGCAACAGGTTTGACAATGTTAAACACCGTTTAAATTGTACCGTGAGCAAGTCAGACTAGTACCACAGGCTGTACTGACTGATAATACTACTACTACTACTACTACTACTACTACTACTACTACTACTACTACTACTACTACTACTACTACTACTACTCACAGTTATTTAAGTACCATACTGAAGAGGCAGTGTTTATCTGAAGGAGCCAAAGTTTGCAAGGCCGATTTGTTATTTTTATGTTTGTGTTTTAATTAACTGTATGACTTTGCTTCTGATCAGTTCAGTTGGTCTGTTTTACTGGTACATCTCTTATTTTACTGGTGCTTAAGTAATAACTTGTTGTGTATTCCAAATTCTGCATTGTGCAATTCAGACCGGCTGAATATATTTGGTTGGGTTAGACGTTGTCATTACAGTGCTGCAACGCTTGGTAAGGAAATAAAAACATGCAATTAAAATCAAGATAAATGATACTTCAAAGATATGCAACAGACAAAAACTAACACAACACTGTCAGCAGAGTAAAGCTATAAGGCTACAAAACTGCACAATAATATGTATATTATATATTATATATATATATATATATATACTTGAAGAAACCCATAAAAATCCTTATTATCTAAATTGTATGAATTCTTAAGGTTCTGCAAAGTTTCAATATTCCTCTTATTGCTCAGCAGATTATCATAAATTATATTTTGAAACTTGGACATTGTTTGCTAATGTGTCAATCGAGTTACCATGGTTACCGATGAACATCCCACCATTCATATGCATGTAGAACACCCCCAGCGTGACGTCATTGCAAAGTATCAGTAACATAAAAACATAATTCAATTCAAAACGCTGGAAAACTTTACTAGCAAGAATCACAGATTTCAAATTTCAGATTTTAAATATTTACTTTACAAAATAATGTCAAGTATTTTTAGACAGAAGTGAAACAGGACACAAAAACATTTTATTGAACTTTATTTTTTATTCATAATTTGAAAACCTCTCCCTTCATATACATTTCAAATACATCTCTGTATAAAATATATTAACATTATAAAGTCGGTACAGCAACACTTGAGTAACATGTTTTTTGGATACACTTAAAGCCCATTCAAATATTTGGACAAGATTTTCACTGTTTTCACTCGACAAAATCCTCTTCTGAAGGCTTGGAACTCAGCTCTCTCCTTTGTAAACAGAATAAGCATCAACTACAAGTGCGTCCATTGTTTTGCATCTGCCCAGAGCCAAACTATGGAGGATACAGGTCTTAATATGGTAAAGGTAAACTGTGGAACTTTTCTGGTGGGTGGTGGAGGGTATACGCCGCTGATGATCTCCATGGAAACATTATTGCTACACCTGGGATGTTGTATGGTAAGCTTGAAGCTGGTCATGAAAGCTCAAAGTAAGGACTGAATTAAGATTTTAGTCTCATAATTGAAAGAGCGGCATGTTTTAAAGCCAAACTGCGGAACATTTCAAGCAATGCAAACAGGCACCCCATCAGAAAAGAAAATACAAGACAATTTTCCTGCAATTATCACAGACAGACAAAGGCACTTAGAGAAAAATACACAACAACAACTTCATAAAATTACAGTTATGACAATATTTAAAATACAAAGTCTTCCTGATGTGTATGTTTTGTAATTGTGGTGGATCACAGCTAAAACAGGCCTACAACTGAAGGCACACAGATACTGTACAGAAAAGGAAGTGGCAATGGATTCCCTGAAAGCGTTTATTTATCAACAGTATATTTTATAGAGTTGTATATATAGATTTATTCAGAGTTCATTTGCAAAAGCAGACAACATACAGGACAAGTCAAAAGTTTGGACACGCCTCCTCATTCAATATTTTCTTCACGCTTACTACTTTCTACTTTTAGTTACGTACGTAGTCACACGGGATAAGCTCGGCGTAGAACCACTGCCCCTCCACGTGGAGAGGAGCCAGCTGAGGTGGCTCAGGCATCTGTTCCGAATGTCTCCTGGACGCCTCCCTTGCGAGGTGTTCCGGGCATGTCCCACCCGGAAGAGGCCCCGGGGAAGACCCAGGACACGCTGGAGGGACTATGTCTCTCGGCTGGCCTGGGAACGCCTCGGGATTCCCCTGGACGTGTCTGGGGTGAGGGAAGTCTGGGAGTCCCTGCTCAGACTGCTGCACCTGCGGATAAGCGGAAGAAAATGAATGGATGGATGTATTGTAATGTATTTTATGGTTTTGGATTTTATAATACTGTATTGTATTTTTTATTGTATTTTATTGTATTTTTATTTAATTTTATTATTTATTTATTATTTCATTGTATTGTATTTTTATGTTATTATTATTATTATTATTATTATTATTATTATTATTATTATTATTTCATTTAATTTTATTTTACACGTTCCAGTTCACACTCCTCACCAGCGGGGGGCGGTAGTTCACCTAAAGTTAGAACACGGTGGCAGAGGTGGGCGGGGCTCATGGCCGTAGCGCTCTGGGGGCTAACTTTGGAGCTAGCCATGCCCGGAAAATGCAAGTTCCAAGATGCGTGGCTGGAGAAGGACATTTACCGGGACTGGCTGATGCGGGATGTGCACGATATCCACTCCGCCAGATGCCGAGCCTGCTGCAAATTCATCAAACTCCAGACGATGGGCGAGGCGGCGCTCACTTCTCATGCGGGCGGAGCGGGGCACAAAGCCGCGGTCTGCAAACTGATGGAAGGTAAAAACACAAACTGACGCGAGATAAAAACACGAGCAGGAAACACAAACGTGAACTTCAGAGCGATTTTTAACGTGCACGATCATGTGAGAACGATAGTGATGTAAGATGTGTCTGTAATCGGGACAGTGGGGGTCCGCGGGGGTGTGTTTGTTGACAGTGTAAACAAAAGTTAAAGGGCCACGGGAACTAGGGGAAGGTTGAGGAATTTAATTTTCGACTAAAATGTAATTACAGTCCTATAAAATCACCTTTAAAACTCTTGTGTCTTTCAGCAACAAACCTTTCTTGCCTGGAAAATATGCATCACCATCTCTCACCACAGAACTGTATCAATAAGATTAGACTGAGACAAACTTTGCTGCTCCACAAGGGAAAATATTTGGACACAGGAGCTCACACATCATAATATATTGTAATAACAAAAATTTAAAAAATGGAGTAGAACTGAATAAATCAATAAATCAATTTCTTTTACCAAAATGGAAGGAAAAGAAAATATCTATTTTAGGGCTGCTTGATTATGGAAAAAAAAAAAATCATTATCACGATTATTTTGGTCAATATTGAAACACGATTATTTTTTTGTTACACAATGCATTTATTCAGATTTCTCTCTCAAAAAAAAAAAAAAACAACAAAACAAAAACAAAACACTTTGTTAGTGATAATTTCTGCAAAACTTTCAAACTGAAAATAAATACAGGCTACAAATATGAACCTTAGAGCAGTTTTGCGATGTATAAAACATAAAATGAATAAAATATGTCTCTCGGCTGGCCTGGGAACGCCTCGGGATTCCCCCGGAGGAGCTGGAGGACGTGTCTGGGGTGAGGGAAGTCTGGGAGTCCCTGCTTAGGCTGCTGCCCCCGCGACCCGGCCCCGGATAAGCGGAAGAAAATGGATGGATGGATGGATGAATAAAATATACTTTGAACATGAAATAAGGCTTAGAAAAACATAACAACATCAAAATAACATAAAAAATAAACTATATACCTAGCTGTTCTACAATCTCTATATTTAAAAAATAAAATAAATATCCTTATTTACATAAAAAATATCCCAAATTAAACTTTGTTAAGCTTTAAATCGCTTCAACTCGATTATATGAGTTTGGAGATTGTTTAATTGCACAACCTTAGTCTATTTAGATTAAATTAAATTCAATTTTATTGTCATTACACATGTGTAAATACAAGGTAACAAAATGTGGTTTAGTGTCTAATTAGAAGTGCAAGGAGCAGCAAGTGCGATAAATACAGAATGTGGAGTATGTACAATATAGACATTATACAGTACATTACAGTGTAGATTGAAATGAACAAGTTTACAAGATATATTTGATGATAATGGCTTTCATAAGAGCCCATCAAATCTCTGTAACCTCTGACGAATTTAATGATGTAAAAAGAAATCCAAATGGTTTGAAGGAGCTGGTGAAGGCACACAAAGCCAGACGTCCCTATTTACCCAGGACAGTCCCAGTTTTGAGCGCTGTGTCCCCTGTCCCAGCAGATTTATCCAAAACCAGTGATTTGTCCAAGTTTTATACAAAAAATGTCCCAGGTGTCTATATTTTTGACCAATTTAAAACCTTCCAACAGTAAAAAGAGGCATAAATTGGCATTTATTTATGAAAAATACAGAAAAACTGCTTAGAAGTGACCAAAACACAAAGAATATTGGACTGTACTGACTCATGTTAGTTTTGAATAAGTCATGAATGGGCTGAGTGCAGAACAATTCTCCTTAATTACGCACTTGTTTCACAGTTTAATTATTTCCAATTGCACCAAACACAGTGTTCCAGTTTTTGATTTTGAAATCTGGTCTCTCTAACTGGAAGTTGCCTCGAGTTAAGTGAAAAGCAGATATTATTTTCACACCGTTTATGAATTTTATTATAGGTAAAAGCTGCGTACATGTTGATCCGACAGCTTGACAAATCATAGAGGACATGGAAAGCAGAACGCCCCTTTCCATGTCCTCTATGACAGTGGTTCTCAAACTGTAGTGTGGTCCTCCTTCAGAATTTAGTCAAGTTTATTCAGATTCTTGTTTTGTTTTTGTCCTAGTTTACATCTAATAGTCCTGTTTTAGACCTGGTTTGGCTCTAGTGGTATCAGAAGGCCAAATAATTTCTTTTGTTTGAAGTTTGAAAACCTGCTGCTCTAACGATGAAACAATGATAACAGAGAGAACATCAATAATCAATTTCTAATATTTATTAAGTTGCTGCACAATTTCTTTACTATTTATAAACCACATTACTGATTATGTGCTTGTTTAGTTTAGTTTATTTGATGAAACAGGGAGAGTGCACAATATACATTAACCTTAACAGGAGAGTAGTGCCAGTGCTAATTTCCACCTCTCGTCCCTGGGCAGGTTGATGTTATAGTTCATAAAATCAAACATACAAAGAGAATGTCTTTTATAATGTCCGAATCATCATAACAATTCTACATCATCATTCCCACCCAGTTCCTCTTAGCATCTTAAAAGCATCATCCTTATCAAAATCCTCATTCAGTTCATTCTCTCCAGAACATCACACTCACTCCAGACTCTCATCAGTTCACATTATGGCCGCAGGTTTGATCTATATTACACAAAATTGACTCTTTTGAGCTTTAAGCCATGTTATAATGTTATTACCTCATCAAAAACATACCTGAAGTTGATGTTTTGTTTTATTCACACATGTTTGAGTAATCCTTTTTATTATTAACCTACGTCTGCAATGATCAAAATGTAAAAAAATAGGCTATAGTATTGTACGAAATGTTAGTGCTTTGTCCCACAAGTTCCACAATTTCCATGGAGAAGCAGGTGACGCCAATAGGCCAACAGGGATCATTGCAGTGGAGAGGTAGCAGAATGTGCATTATTGTTTATTTATTTATTTTGCAATTAAAATATCAATAATAAATAAAATGATCTCTTCCTCTTTTCCAGCACAGGCCCTGTACAGGTCCCAAAACACACTGAGCGTCAGATTGTCTCCAGCAGATGAAGGCAGCACCCCGCCTCGTCTGCCGTCTGAAAGTGGGTTGAAAAATAGATAAATCTGTGTGCATCTAAAACAAAAACATAAATGAACTAAAACTAGCTTTACTCTTCTTCTTTGTGCAGGTAATCTCCTCTCCATAAACTCAGCTGGACAGGTAAATGGCTGCATGGCACAGGTAAAGCAATGATTGTCTTTAACACATTATTTTTCAGCACATTTGTCCAAAATCTGCTTTTATAATTTATGCCTCAGGTTGATTGAACTGAAAAAAATGCATCGTTTACATACTACAAATATTATACAGACAGTAAACAGAAAAACCCACCCGTATCTGTTGCAGAGTGACAAAATTAAGAGACATTTTCATATCATCTTACAAATTACATACCACATTTATATATGCTACACATAATAATATGCATATCACAAATCTAGGGATGCACCGATATCTGTGCCGATATTGAAACTTCTGATGGATCCGGCGATATCTGTTCCATCGATATCCTAATTTCGTTTATATATTTGTGTAATAAGACAGTGTTGGCCCAACTTGGCGTAATATTATTTAAAAGTTGTTTAAAGTTTAAGGTGTAGTTGTTTTATAAAACACATTTTGATATTTTTCTACCCATAAGTTTTGTGAAATGAAATGGATTATATTTTGCCCCAGTATCAGTTAATATCGATCAGCAGATAGTTGAAGCCAAATATCGACACTGGTATCGAAGCAAATAAAGCTGTATCGGTGCATCTCTAATCAAATAGTTTCCTTTTATTTCACATTTGTATTGTATTATTATTATTTTCCTCTTTATAATTTATTTTGAAGCTGTGAATGTTTGGGCTTTGCTTCAGTTTTTTTTCCAAACCTCTTCCGCAGGTTAAAGGAACATTTTGGCCGGAGGAGGAGAAACCGAGGCCTGGTCTTTCACAGGTGGGTTTTGAGCTACAGGAGCCTGCATGGGACACCTCCATTCTTCTATTCTTCTAACTGCAAATATTTAGCTAAAGCCAAGTTATCTTTGTATTATTCTTGGTTGCACTCAGACCTGTTCAGTCCCAGATTTGTCCCCATTTATTGATACTTAAAGTTATTCATTAAAGGGTTTATAGAACTGTCGCATAGATTACCATGTAAAAGCTGTATACCTTGTCTGTTTCTCTGTTTACAGCCTGAAGAACTTAAAGATCCTCCTCCAGAGTCTCTCGAGTGGTCTGACAACAAGAACTCCATTTCCCAGAATCCTGAGTTACAAGACCCTGGCTTCACAGCGACCTTTATCACAGCCACAGGTGAACCCTCCATTTGTTCTCTTGAAGTTTGTATGACACGTTTTGATGATTCTCTAATTTTTACAGGGATAATATCAGTTGTGAATATAAATTATAGTTTTACACCAAACAATAAGCAGTTTGTGGAGAAAAGTTTAAAAATATGACATTGTAGTCCTTCTTTTATTCAGGAGTGATTCAATGTAGAGAAAGTTCCATTTGTGGTCATCTGGTTTTTTGGTTCTGGCTTGAGGCACTGGGAACTGGGGCTGAACTTAGTTACTCAAAGTAGGAGAAATTCCCAGTGGTTCAAGCCAGATCCATCAATTGAAAATGGCTCCTGGATTTGAGCCAAAATGTATTGATTGCAAAAACAGTCCAGATGACCACAGATGAAATGACGTATTATTTCCAAATAAGCTGAAGTCTGAAGTAAATGTGTAATTCATCTCAAACTCCTGTCCCTTCGTCAGGCTGTCCCACAAAGCGTCCCTGTCGGCGGGGGCGCCCTCCCTCTAAACCTGAGCCTGCAGATGCGGGCATGGCCTCTGGTGTGAGTCCTCTGGAGCAGCAGAGGAACATGGCTCTTCTGGAGTGGGAGGGGCGCATGAGGAGCCTGTCCCAGGAGCACGAGCTGTTAACAGAGAAGAGACGAGCGACGCGCCAGAAGGAGCGCGCCTACAGACTCAAGAAGAGGTACTACAGAGCCAAGCTCAGGAGGCTGGGAGAGGAGGTGCCCTCCTCCTCTGACAGTGAGAGAGACGAGGAGCAGATGCTCACCACGGCGCACAGGGGCCTTTTATAGGAGAAAGACGATTTTAGAATGTACATAAAATGTTTTTATATTTGCACAAATATCCATCCATCCATTTTCTTCAGTTTTATCTGGGGCTGGGTCATGGAGGCCAAAGTCTGAGCAGGACTCCACACTTTCTCCAGCTCAATAACAAAAAAAAACATCCACACCATTTTCAAACAGATTAAGTCAGTTCAGTGTTGTTTGTTAAGTTGTAACAATCAACAATATAAAAAAACTAGGCAGCGGGACCTCCTTGTGTAAAGAAAAGCTTAAAAGTGATCTCAAACATCTCCTGAAGCAAAGGTCCTTTAAAGAAAGATCCTTTTCTGTTGACATGAGCTGATGTTTGGCCTAAAAGAAGTCAGGAGGTTGTTTTGTACCAGGAAGTGTCAGATTAATCTGGACAAACAGTTGTTTCAATTGTTGCTCACTTTTGCACAAAGTCATGTAATTATTAAAACCAACTAGAAGCACTATTCATGGCCAATATGGTACGAAATGTATTCCAGTTTCCTTTTTGCATTTGGCATTTGGAAAAAAAATGTCGTCTTTACGTAAGATAAGTTAAGAAGTGCCTGAGTGAGTCGTGTTTTCAGACAGTGAAAATATCAGATAAACACATTTTGCCTGTAGAATTTGAATTTTTTTGCAGTTCATTTCATTAATTTGTTTAACATGATAACGTAGAGTCACATAAAGCTAGTACAGGCACAGAACGGAAGAGATACTATTTTTCGTTAATGGAGCTAATTTCCATCTGTAGAACCGTTTATTTGCTCTTTACAAGTGAGAAAATACTTGTCTTTATTATTTTCAGAAATACAAGACATTCTGCGCTTGTTCCACTTTTCAATCTTATTTTAAACGGTCAGAATATACAATAAAAATGAATACTTCGTCATTCAAACATATATTGACGATTTTTTTTCCAAATAAATTAAACCCATGTAGCCTGTATTTTACACTAATAAAAATGCTTTAAAGTCATTTGAAACACAAAAACACTTTAAACAAAAACAGTTTATTTTGTAATCTTGTACTTAATCTCATTCTGTACTATTGTTTTTAATGTTTTTTATGCCTTATAGAAATGCTTTGTTTTTTATGTTACGCCGGAACATTGCCATAATCAACTTTTTTCTTTTTCTTCGATTGAGAAGGATCTGACTGCAGACCTCCACCCAGGGGGGCTCCAGGAGGGGGGCTTGAGATATTTATGTACCCCTATAGCTCCTTTAAAGATTTTTGCCCCATTTTCAGAACACATTCAATCTTGTTTTTATTCATGATGACATGTTTTTAACCTTTGCGAGCAGAGTAGAGCAGAGACAACAAAAAGTTCATTTCAGAGTAGCTATGAAATCTACTGGAGATTGTTTTAAGTGCTCTGAACCATTTGAAATAAGCTAAAATTATCACCTTTATTGATAAATCATATTACACTGTTTTCTGTTATAATGTTATACTGTTGTTTCCTCATCACAGACAGACCTGGAGCTGTGTTTTGTTTCATTCACACACGCTCTGCATTTTTAGGTGGAGTTGTTTTCTCAAGTAGAAAACACTTTGTTCCACCCTGTGATGTCATGTGGTAAACACAGGAAGTGCTCCACTGTGTTTGTAAACTCCATTCACCTTCTCTAGAATCATTCGGAAGAGTTCAGGTCCGGAGTTGCGAATCTGTAACCTGATTCTTCAGCCGCTTTCACTTCGTCGAAACTGTCGGACCTCGTAGCATTAGAATTTTTTCGCTCGACAAAACACAGTGAGAGTATAATTTATATTTTATCTATATATAATAATTTATAGAGAGCTTTATTTTATGTATCCACACCACAGACTTGATGGTGACGTCTGTATGCCCCTTTGACCAAAGAGCCACTTCCTTATTCCAAATTAAAAACCATATTGTTTTATCAAGCATTTCACAACTGTAAGAAAGTACTTCCTCAGTTTTTTAATTAGATGTCAGCTCACAGTGGACATATATTGACCTCGAGAGCTTCTTATACAATTTTGCTCAGATTCATTGGGAAAACACGGGTTTAAAGGGCCCATATTATTAGCCTGATTCATCAGCCGGTTTCACCTCGTGGAGACCGTCTGACCTCGCAGCATTAGGATTCATTCGCTCGACAGTAGGCGGGTACTTTTTTTCATTTAATCAATCGCTGCTATTTGGTCGTGAAGTATGTAATGCACCGCTGACGGGGATAACTGGTCCATTAAGCTTTTCCCAAATCCTGTAGGAAGAAAGACAATAACGTCTTTCCCCTTGATAAAATTCACCAAACATTCTCTTTGTTCCTGCTTTAAATCCTCGATCTCGGGAATTGTTGACGACACTGAAGGTCTGGCTCTTCGCTGATTGGCTGGTGCTCGAACTCGCACTTCCGGGGGTTCTTGTAAACCGTCTAAGTGTATTTTGATTCCTGACCTAGTCGCTGGAGAGAAATGAAATTGAGCGGAGGCACTAGGTGGCTCCAGCCCGGCTAGTCAATCTCTACGCAACAAAAGGTAAAAGGCAGCTGGTAACTTGAAATCTACCACTACATGACATCACAAGGTGGAGCAGAGCATTTTGAGCTTTGGAGATGTAAACAGACTAATAATACAGGGTTACTCAATCATGTGAATGAGCCAAAGCACAACTCCAGGTCTGTTTTTGAGGAGGAAACAACATTATAACATGTCTTAAAGCTCACAAGAGGCAGTTTTGCGTAATACAGCTTACTTCTTTAATAGAAAATGAACCAAGACAACAGCTGATAGAAAGTGTAATTAAGTTATTTATTAAGTAAACTGATGAAAAGTGATGAGGGACTTGTGGGTGGAGGTCTGTGGGGTGGGGTCCTCTGGGTGGAGGTCTACAGCCGGACTCTGTGCTTCAACGTGTATTATAGAAAATGTATTTAAAAATGTGCTCCTACCGTTTCTGAAGTGGTACTTGAATGCAGATTTGTGTAATTCTCTGATGAAGTTTGAATGTATGAAAGTGGACCAGAAGATTAAACATTAAAATATCTGTGAATATGTAATAAAATGATTAAGAACATGATTTTTGACTCTTAAGAAATGGGCTGTCTACATCTCTAACCCTCAAAATGCTCTGTCCCACCTCTTCCACCTTGTGATGTCATGTAGTGGTAGTGTTGATTTCTGTTGTATCGTTGCAAAAATTAAAAAAAGTTTTGAAGAGGCTAATATAATTGTATGTAGATGAAACACTCGTTTGCTTTTAAAATACCTTGACAAGATTTTGGTGTGAATTATTTCCATCATAATCCCAAGAATTCAAGTAAAAAACATAATCTCTTAATGTTGTCTGCACTGAAATGAATCATGGGATATGTAGTTTTCGATGTTCACAACCTGTTGCTACTGCATTTAAGCAAAGGAACTTGTAATTCGATATATCGTGACAGTCCACGATATTACTGTGAGACTTCTGACGATACGATATCACGATATTTTGGTTATTGTTACATCCCTAGTCTATAAACATCTAGCTGAAGTTTCTGAAAGTCTGAGGGAGTCTGGGCGTCTAACAGAGCCTTTGTATAGGCGAGTTTCAGCTGACGTCATTGTTATTAAAAGCCCGCGTTGCATGCTGGGAAATATTTTGGTCGGAGGCAAGAAACAGGATTGCGGTCAAACACAGTGCGTAACCTCGCGTATTTATCCCCGATAATGGTAAATTCCTGCTGCATTATCGGATGCACAAATAGAAGCACGGAAGAAGGAAAATGTCTTTTTTGTATTCTGAGTGAAAAGAACCACTAACGGTGAATTAAACGGCTTTCAAACATTCGCAGAGCAAACGTAGAAGATCCTAACAAACCGTGGACTCCAACAAGTTCAACAACGCATCGAGACTCTTGGAGGTTTTCATCTTTTCTGCTGTGAATGGCCCAGGAGTTTCCACCAAGTCATTGTGGATATCGCCCAAGTGAATATTTGTCCAGGTAGTTGGTGATTCTGACCAGAAATTTGGTTTGGTCCACCTTTTGTCGGGGTTGAAAAGGGTGATTTGGCGTCCATCGATGCTTATGACCAATTTCTGGTCAAATGGTCTTGGGTCCTCTGCCGTTAGAGTGGATAAATAACCGGGATCAATACCCTTTATGTGCTTTCTCGCTCCGTCCGTCATGTTGAATTAGTGTTTCTTGCCTCCAACCAAAATAATTCCCATTCTTTTGTCAACAATGAAACTCGCCTATAGTCTAATTATAAATGTGTCTTTTAGCTGTTTCTTCATTCTGGTAATATTCCAGAGGGTTAGTGCAGTTTGTATCATAAAACAGAGCAGCATTCGTCGTTCAAAGTCACTGAGCAGAACGTTTTGCGCTTTAACCGTAGCAAGCAGTGTGTATGAAATGAGTACAAAGGATGACAGTAGTTTTCAAGTTGTTTCAAGCTGCTTTTTACCTTTTGTTCAGTACATATTGGTAATTCCAGAGCTGAGGTTATCCCAATGATTCTAGTGAAGGTGTATGGAGTTTAAAAACACAGTGGAGCACTTCCTGGATTACCACATGACATCACAAGTGTGGAGAGTTTTCTGAGAAGGACTAAAAATGCAGGGTTTGTGTGTTAAACATGTGTGAATGAAACAAAACTCCAGAACAAAACACCATGCATCAAACTGCACTTTACCAAGACCCAAAGACCAAAGAAGGCTCACATCTCCAAACTTTTATCAACACTTATCGCAAATCAGTTGCAATATATTCTCAAACGTGTCCACCCTAAATCGTTTTATGTCATTTGGCTGGACATACACTATTGGTCAAAAGTTTTAGAAACACCCTAAGTTTTCCAGTTATTTATTGCAATTCAAGTCGTGCAAGTCCAATGAAGAGCTTGAAATGGTACAAAGGTAAGAACTGAACAGCCAGAGGTGAAAAAAAAAAGATAAAAGATACAAAACACAAGTCCAAGCTCTAACAAAACTACCCCAGGAAAAAAAGACTAAGATGGTAAAGCTTGAAAACATGGAGTGTCCAGCAGCACAGACTCCAGACTTAAACCCCGTCGAGCTGGTTTGGGATGAACTGGACCCAAGAGTGAAAACCAAGAAACCTACAAGTGTCACAACATTTATGGGAACTTCTGCAACAGACATGGGAAGAACTTTCTGAAGAATATTTGATTTCTGTTGTAAAAAGAACGAGCCACGAGTGTGTTCAGCTGTTATATCTGCCAGAGGTGGACACTTTCATGAAAAGTGAAAAAAAAAAAAATGGAAAAAAGTGTGGTGTGCTAAAACTTTTGAGGTCTGAGATTGAGGTGTTACAGAAAAAAACTGCTCTGCCTTTTGTCAATCACTAAAATGGCAATCCCGTTTAAAATTTTGACAATACCCTCTCTGCCTGGTGGAACTTCTATAAAATCAGTGACTCTAACCGAGCACCACTGTTTTCACTCCACTATGCCATAACCAGTGTTGGGGAGTAACAGATTACATGTACCAGAGTTACGTAATCAGAGTACAAATTATGAGTAAATGTATTCAGTTACAGTTACTGTTTAAGTGAGTGGTAATTAGATTACAGTTACTTCATTGAAATAAATGGATTACACAGAGGTATTTTCTTGTTTTCACATTTTGGGCTATATCCCTTTTTTTTTTTTTTTTTTTCAGTAATTCCACTCATTGCCGGACACTAAACCAGATCTAAACCAGGTCTAAAACCAGGTCTAAACCAAGACTAAACCAGGTCTAAACCAAGACTAAACCAGGTCTAAACCAAGACTAAACCAGGTCTAAACCAGGACTAAAACCAGGACTAAATCAGGTCTCAAACAGGATTTAACAGGCTGTGTTAATCTGGTTAAGTAAACTGGGTTTTTCATTTTCTTTTAGCAGACAAAACATCTTACGTGATGATATCCTCGTCTTTGCTTCTCTACAGCAAACGTAAAAAAGTAATCCAAAGTATTCAGATTACATTACTCACTTTAAGTAATTTAATGGATTACGTTACAAACTACATTTTGGGGTATGTAATCTGTAATCTGTAGGGGATTACATTTTAAAAGTAACCTTCCCAACACTGGCCATAACACACACTAATAAGTAATAAGTAATAAAAAAAGAGTAAACTCCTCAACACATGGATTTAAAAAAAAAAAAACATAATTCATTTACTGCACATTGAAATCAGGCAAAACTCCTCTGATGTGCAGCCAGTCCAACAGGATCAGGTGTAACTAAACAGATAATGCTTAACAATCAAACAACAAACATCAAAGACCTTCTTATGTAAAGGACAGCTTAAAACTACTGTGATGAAATACGTGCTGACAGATATATGTTGACGAAACACTTTGCACACATGTCATGTAACTGGAAGCACTATATGGCATTATAATTATTTTGTAACTTTTTTTTTTTGCAAAAATGCCTGGAATGTTCCACAGTGTGACATTAAACAGGTCTACTTTACATTTATCCAATTGCAGGTTTGTTTTATAGCTCAAAAATACCTAGAAAAACAAGCATTTTGACTGTGAGCGAGGTTGCCTCTCCACAGATCTGACCTGTAACTTGGTCTGGATAGAAAGGTTTAGTGCAGGAGTGTCAAACTCAAATTTACAGAGGGCAAACATTAAAAACTGGGACTAAGTCGTGGGCCAAATTAAATATTTATTTAAAAATTTGTCTTCTTTCAAAATATGTAATGTGAAACCTTTTCTTACTAAAATAAATGTTTAATAATATTTTTTTCTTAAACATTGAATCCAGAGCAAGCATAATATAAAATAATAACAACATTTTAAATAAATAGTGTCTCTATAGTCTATCTGTAGCCGGCGGGCAGCTCTAATACAGGTTTGATATGATCTCGCGAGCCAAATATAATTATATCGTGGGCAAAATTTGGCCCCCGGGCCTGAGTTTGACATGTCTGCTTTAATGCCATACTGAGAAACATTCCAGACAAAACAATAACATCTTCATGGAAAAATTATGAAGGACCCTCCACCTGAAAGTTACACAATGCAACTTTAACAACCAAACAATGAAGAGCAATGACCTTATGTGAAGTCCAGCCTTTGAAGATGAAATGTCGGTTCTTGGTCTCTGATTTTATAAATTAAATTTTATGGTCAGGTGCGACTTATATATGTTTTTTCTTCTTCATTACGTATTTTTGGCTGGTGCAACTTGTACTCCGGAGCGACTTATAGTCCAAAAAAAACTATAAGTATGTAAATTGTAATAAACTCACAAACTGCCACAAACATAATAACTAAATATTAAATTGTGTTAATGTGTACGTACTAGAGACATAATGATATCCAAATCTCACGATATGATATCACAATATTCATTTCACGATACGACATGTAAATGTCAGCCAGTCCAGTAGATGGCGCCCTAACCTTACCTGTGCAACCACACCCCTCCAGAAGAAAATAGCTGCAGAACTTGCCAGATCAATGCTTGAGACATGTGTCATACCACCATCAAATTTTGTTTAATACTTGCAGCCCTCAGACAGCGGAGCGAGGTACCTGTTTGTTTGTTTATATGTATTAGTGAATGTGGTGAATTTTTGTTTATCTACTATTTGTTAGTATATTTGATTTTATTGTTAAATATTCATGTTTTCCGTGTAGTTTTCACGGTGCTGTTTGATGTTGCTGAAATCAGTAAAATATTCGCACCAGTTGAAGCTCTCTGCGTTTTATTGAATCTGAGGGACCGCTACAGTGAACACTCGACCGTCACCAGACCGGTGGACCTGTTCGCCAACCCAGAGAGACTCTTCGCCAGTCAAGTTACAGTCTGTTCATCGCTACTCATCACCAGCCACTGTTTGGAGTTCTAATTTAATAACAAGTCTACACATTTTGTCAAAAGTATTCATATAAGATAAGCCACCAAAATGTTAGACTCGGCTGAAGAAAGTAACAACTTGGAACAATTAAGATGCAGTAGCCGTATACGTAACTTAAATGAAAAGGGCAAAGAGATGCATGAACAGGAGGAAAAGAAACATGAAAAGACATTTAGTAAAGCTTATGAAACTTGGAAAGAGTTGGCCAAAG